TTATGAATAGCATACATGGTATTTACGTGTGTTTAGTGCTCGGTTAGTGCGATTCAAAAAATTGGGTCCAAATTGAGCGAAATTGAGATTGTCAGTGCATTTAGTATGCATGCGTCGACATCTTAGTTTGGTCTTAGGTAGTGTGAAGTGTGTACAGCAATTACTTTTCCAATGTAACAAAAGATATTTATAACTTCTAGATTCAGATATTTAACCATCATTTGTTATGTGCAAAATAACCAACCTTTTCATTCTTCAGAAATTCTCTCACCGGTCCATAAGCAGCAGCAACACAGAGGTTCTGGAAAAGAAAAAGAAAATCATAATAAATATGCAAGGGTTTTATTATTATGAGACTGAACTAGAGCAGCAAACCAGTCGAGTTTAATAAAAATCATGATTGACTTATAGCTCGAATTCTGTTACTGTGTCTGACCGGGCTTAGAGTTTTTATATAGCTTCAATTTCAATACACACCTTGAGATCACTGCCAGAGAAGTCATTAGTCATGCCAGCAATGGCATTCAAATCAACATCGTCCGACAGGTTTTCTTCTGCCAGTATCATTTGTAGTATCTTAGCTCTGTTACTGGCGTCGGGTAAATCTACCATGAATCTTCAAAAACAAGTAAAAAAAATTAATCTTCAAAAAAAAGTAAAAAATGTTATAATGAAATAACAGTTGTGCATATAACCAGAGATTTAGTAACTATTAAGTACGAAATAACACGTATAGATAATATTAACGGGTAAAGAGTAACGGGTAATGAAAAAATCCAACCCAAGGTTTACATTAACTACCAAAAAAGGGACTTTCTGATGAAATTACAAATACACCCTTAAAGATTCAGAAATGCTTCCTTTATGCACATGTAAATTGTGAAACTAATTGAAAATGGATGGTTTTTGTAAGATTTAACGATAATTGGGTCTTATTGTCATTAGGCTAAACTTCAGAGGCAGTTTGTAATTTGTCATATGTAGATAAAAATGCGGATAACAGAAAAAACTTCTACCTGTGAGGCATTCTTCTAACTACAGCATCATCAAGGTCGAAAGGCCAATTGTGGCAGCAAGAATGAGAACCCTCTCCGTGTCCTTTGTAAGCAAGCCGTCCCAATTCACCATGAACTCGGTCTTTATCTTGCGAGTCAATTCGTGCTCGTAATCATTTCTTTTCCCGAAAATGCTATCAACCTTAAGTAAAACAAGCTATAAGAAAACTGCTTAAATTTCTTAAAACTATCATCAGTACGTAACCATACCTCATCAATGAACAAAACGCTTGGGGCGAACTTTCTTGCTAGCGAGAAGATAGCACTCACGAATTTCTCAGAATCTCCATACCACTGTGGAAAAAGTTATGAACAAAAAAAAGTTAGGCACAAGCGTAACTTCACATGCCTAACGGTTAAGGAATTTTAATGACCTACAGACCTTTGAGTTTATATTGGATAGAGAAATGTTGAAGAAATTTGCACCAGCTTCAGTGGCAAGGGCCTTGGCAAGCATAGTTTTCCCCGTACCAGGAGGGCCAAATAAAAGTATACCCCTGCAAGGCTATAAAGGGACAAAGATCAATTAAATTTCCTTCTGACAAAAGGTGAACTGATGATCATGCACCCAAAAATCATAACTGCTAAAGATGCACAGATCGTGCACCTAAAAATCATCACTGCTAAAGATGCACAGATCATGCACCTAAAAATCATCAATATCAAAATAATATATTAATAATAATAATAATTCTGCTTTGTCTGAATTAATACTAATATTATTACTCTAAAAAAGAGATTAGGAAGTCAGACTGGAAAACAGTGCTCTAGTATATTGCAAGATTACAAAAATAAATAGAATGTAAAATAAAATAACAGACATACCTTCGTCAGCTGCCCCTTGCAGAACAATTCGGGCCTCTGCAGAGGGAGAATCACAATCTCCTTGAGGGCATCTTTGATGTTATCAAGGGCTCCGATATCATCAAACGTTACACCAATTTTTTCGTGAAGGATGACATTTTCCAACACTCTTTTCTCATATTCATTTTCAGGTGTGATGACCTGTACATTTATCAGCAGTCTCTTTGAACCTCAATAATAAAATTGAAATGAACTATTATATCACTGGACAAAGTCACACAACAATAAAATGATGGCAAAAGTATAAATTTGTTAATGTATTTCATAATCGCTTCCTTAACTTACCTTATGAGATTTTCCGGATTCATTCCAGCCAGTCTGAGCAGCACGCAAATTGTTCAATGCATCGAGTAGACTGCCAGAATCGGGATATCAGAAATTATAGGTCTTATTTGAAAAAAAAAAATACTCAGGAAGATGAAAGCAGAAAACAATGACTTGCCTTTCTCTAGACAATGCAAACTTCACGCGCCTGTGAATCGGGGGACGCACCATTATTTCCCGGCCTAGAGCCCACTTGACCACCTTTTCAGCATCTGTGATCACTTTGTATGATTAGTTGGTACAAAATTACTTTAGTTGTTGCATTTAATTTGACATGCCCCTTTTACAATGTTCAAATTGCAACATACCCTCATTTGTAAGGTTTTGGCCTTCCACGTTCAATGTCTCTATGCCTTGGCATTCCAAGTCTTGCTTAAGTAGAGCCTGTACCCAGAAGGATACTTGGTGATGACAATGAAACCGAAAATTTATGCATAAGGAAACTATTTTGAGCCACATATATCGATTGTTTTGACAAACTATGCAGTCTTAACCATCAGGTGAAATCTTGTCATTTGAAATTCTTTAATTTACCATGAGTCACAAAATCAACCCCTCTCCCTCGCACACTGCACAAAATTTGCACACACCACACGGTACACATTTCAGGCACATACATGGATACTATACACGCACTGCACACATGCACTAAAAATCTTGAGTTCTATATTTCTTTAATTTATAGTTTCCATTTTTTATTGAATACGACTGAAAAAAACTTTACAAGTTGTAATGGTTTTGAATATCTTCACGAATCAACATTCCAACACGTCTCACCTGCTGAAGCCGATAAATATTTTCTCTCGTTCTTAAAAGTTCAGCATCTCTATCCAGCTGGTTTTTCAGCACATCAAAAAGCTTCTTGTCCTGTACTCCAATTTTAGGGCTATCATCGGGTAACATTGTACTAAAAGCATAAAAACTTTAAGGTTAAGAGTTTCTTTTGGGCACCTTAGGCATCTGGATACTAATTTTAACTGAAAAGTATTTCAACAAAGTCATGAACGCATGCTGAAACCTCTGCTCTTTTTCTATTCTCCCATCAAAGTTAGCCTGGATAGTGGAGAAAAATGCACAAAATAAAAACCATTAACAAATAAATATTTAAAACTGTGAATAATCAGGTGTTATAGGAATTTCAGCATTTGAAAAACATTCAAACTGCCTTAACCGTGAACTCCTTTTGAACATGTGATACGATCAAAAAGATGTTGTCGGGAAGCCTATTGATCAAGCTGACTATCCCTGATAAAGCTTCACCATTTTCCACTGAGCAAGTTAAGGCATTCTTCATAAATACGATTAATTTGTTCTCGACAGAGAAACCCTATGAAAAACCGAACAAAGCAATACTAAGATAAACAAAGCAATTAAACATTTCACGTTTCTACCATGAGCTTTTTTATTTAATTTACTTTTCTTTGAAATCAGGCATTCACCTGAAATGCTGTAGATGGGGGCCTGACTTGATCATCCACATCACTACAGAGTTCATTCTCTGAAACACAGTTAACAACAATGCAAACCAACAAAATTATAGTGAAGTTTAAAGGGAACACACATGCTGCACCAAAAAAAAGGATGGGAAAATTTACCATCACAAAGAAACCCCATGTTTTCTTCACATAGACCCCCAAGGTTTGTCCCCTCGGAAATAGGAAAATCAAACCTCACGCCTACTTTTTTGGGTTTTTTCTCAAAGCCCGCAACTTTTGCACGCATTCCAAAAGCGGGCCCCATACTTTTTTTCAGAAGACAAAGTAATGCATCAGTATAAGCTAGGAGATTCTTCCTTCAGTATCATATGACAAAATTGTGAATCTCATGAAATAACAAACACCATTCAATAGTTTCCCTGTTCAATAACAAAAGAAACCCCCAACCCATTGGTGAAGCAAGCCGGGTAACTAGTTATACACAATCAAATTCAATAGGAGACACAAAATGCCAGAAAATGTAACTATGGTCTTCAGCAATTTAGATGAACTATAAAACTATAGGTTAACAAATGATCATAAAGAAAACATATGTGCTTGATTCTGAATGTGTACAATTGACTGGTAGTACCTGGCCAGGGTTGAGCTGATATGATTCTTGAGTCCTGTATAAATCACTCTATCACCTACATAAGTAGCTGTGCATGTCAGCATGTATAATATTAAATTCCACAATCTTCAAAGTTCACCTTACATCTCAAATCGTTCACTCTGGTATTTGTTTTATAGAGCAAAAATAGTGGAGTACCTATCTTGAGAATCTGATTTTTAGATCTTTTGGGAGCTGACAGTGAGACTCCATTGGTCGGCACAGTTGTACACTTCAGTTGTTTGGCTTCGAATCTCAAGCCACTCCAACCCACATTGCCAAAAGCAGGCAAATCCTACAATACATAAAGAGCCAACACATAAAGAGCCAACACTATACAAAACATGGATAACAGGAAGTGGATAAATAATTGTATTTCTTATTTTCTCTGTAAAGTAAGACAGATTTTCTGATAAAGTAAGACAGATTTTCTGATTTCCGTACGCGTTGATTCATTTGACAGTCGAATACAAGAAGCTTGGCCCCAGAGTGCAGGGAAAGTGCCATCACTAGAGTCTCTTGATAGATGTCTGAACCTAAAATATACCAGAAATATGCATTCGTGATAAATAGTATTCAACATAAAAATTAACATATTAAATAGAAGACGTTTCTCACGTACCATCTGGACCAGACAACAGGAGTTTATGATCGGTACGCTGACGCTTGGCCTTACTATGTTGGCTTTTGTTCTTCATATGTAGGAAAAGTGAGCTGACCAGTTCATATTCTACTTCTTTACTGCATTAATAATACAAAGGAGATATCTCCAGTACGCAGCCAATGATTTTATATACATATTGAAAAAGTCAAGAAACCAGTGGTGCGAAGTGCGTGCATAATATAATAAGTCAATGAAGTTATCATTATTGCACACAATTTAACGAGTCATTCCGTCCTTTTTAGCCTCCATGCTAAATGGAAACATTTAAATCGTAGTACAAATGAGATATCAACATTGAAACAAAAGGATTACATACAAAGCCAAGAAATTAGTGATGATCATGTCGTGCATATTGTGATAAGCCAACGGGGCATAATTATTGCACAAATTTAGCACGACATTTCCTAAAACGGTCCTATCGAATAAATAGATCCAGTGTATCAACTCTTTAAAGTGATACCTTATATAATAAGGGAAGTTATCAAATGAAGGCTCGACATCCAAGGAGGCCATCACAGTATTTGCACCTTGCGAGCCAGGTGGTACACCATGCTCCTGCTGGTTTTGAGCCAGATTTGCCAGCATTTGTTGGTGCAAAAACCGACGTTGCAACTCAGCTGCAGTAATTTTATACCATTTGCATAAGAAAAAGGTTAAAATTATCGAAAACCACCAATGAAATCACATAAAAACAACTTTTACATTAAGTATTAGATGCGAGTGACAAACCAAGAAAAGTAACCCCACATGAGGGAAATAGGGACAAACTATTCCCACAAATGCATCAATGGAAAGAAAAAGAAAGAAAGGTAATATCTGACCTGCAAGTACTGGCAAAGGGATGTTGCTTAGTTGGTTACCGTCCCCATTTTTGTCAGAGGACTCACAGAGCTGGATATTAGGAACTGATTTTGTGAGGAACACATAGATTGAAGATTACAAAAGAAACAAATCTCGAATTTCTTAAATGAAGAACATCGATATCGAAATTTTCCGAAAAAGTTACAAAAAGAAACGATTACACGTTTACCTTTATCCTCTTTGGTGCTGATTGAGACTGACCATTGGTACCATTTGAGGATGAACTGGAGGAAGACATGATGTGCTTTAGTTTTTCTGCGAAATGCACAATCTACAGAGAGGAGAAGCGAAGGCAGCGTTAAGATTCTTGAGAGTCCCGCCTCTTTTATAGCAAAATATTTCTGCATAAAAACAACCGATACTTGTAATTTACAATCTGGTGCAATACAAGATACACAATTACCACACCCGGGTCGGCTACATCTGGCTCTATATCACAATTAATATCGTGACAATATGTTCATTGCAGCAATAGTATTTCCTGTTCTTCACAAACAATGACGAGAAAGGGGGCCCACGGTGGACCCCACCCCAGCACTGTCCCTATCTCCATCCAATGGAATAAAATTTCCTAAAAAGTTAAAGTAGGAATCTTGTGATTTTTAGGGTTCTCAATCCGGCTCACCGCACCTTATTCTACCTTCGTAGGTTGGCTCCCACCATTGGTGACTACTCAGCTTCTTCATTATTCTATAGAGCAGATAAGCTACCGTCAGCATTATGCTTTCTTAAATGAAAATATATTTGAACTGAAACAAAATTCTGTTATTCCATTATAGCTGGAATCCAGCTATGATATACATATGTAAACACATTCTACATTTGGAGATTTTTATTTAGAAATTACACAATGCGGAATAATTTCCAAACGAGCAGGATATTAAAATGGTAGGCACCTAAAATTAGGGTCAAGTTAAAGGAAATAAATTGTATCAGTTGATTGCGCACCATGCTGGGCCTACACATGTATGATGACATGCAGTTTATAATCATCTTACTTTCCCTCAAATAAGATATACAGAGATGCCTTCATCCAGTATTCAACTTCATCATATAGCTCATTCCAGGTAGCAGCTCCACCTTGCCGAGGTCAGAACTAGTAATAAGAATGTGTACCATCAACAACAAATTGCTATATGTATCACATGAGGAGAGCAAAAGGAAGAAAAAAAGAATAAATGAGTACTAATACCTCTCTCAAGATCTACTTGAGCATTCAAATATGGATCAATAATACCAGAAAAAACACCTCTCCAAAATCATTAGCACAATCAACTCCATGTTCAGACATGTGGTAGATGTAAAGTTTATCTGGAGAGTAATGCTCTGAAGATCAGAAAACTGCCAGGGTTGGTTTGGTGCAGGCTTAATGTGTCGAACCCAAAAAAAGAAAAATATAATTGCTCGTAAAACAACATTTTTGTTCTTGTTTAATATGGCAATGAGCATCAACCATTGATTAATTTCAAACCCTCTCAACAAAGGAAAGAGGAAACACGCACAGCTGAATACTTGCTTTGGACCCCAAGTGATGAGGAGAAAAGTGGAAAGGAAAATCAAACACTGACAACAACTTGGTTCCTTCTCAATTTCCTTCATGACACAAGATGCATAAGCTTAAAGAAAATATGCATAAATAAGACTTGTGTAAATACAAAAGAGACACAAATTGATGTGACATTGATAGATATCTTTCCTATTTTAAACACGAACAAACGAAACACTAAAAATTTCTCATACTTTATAGTTATACAATTGTTGCCTAAGTTCTTTCCTTTAAATGAAATGAATCTAAACCTTATCCTTACCCTCTCCATCACAGTTAAGTTCAACGTGAAGGTAAATTTAAAAGAGATGCATTTTCAAGAAACAAAAGAAAACAATAAATGCATCACGAAGTATTAGAGTTCAGTCAATGATTATATAGATGTGGCGCACGTTGTCCAATGTTCAGAACTCCAGAAACAAATCACATATTGATGGTTAAACTAAGTTTTTGCAGTTAATATAAGGCCTTGAATTAAGAGTCTATGAAATTATGTAATTTTTTTATTCTTCCCTAAGTAATTGGTAGAAAACTTAAGCAAAATTACTGAGAAAGAAAGAGCTCATATTCCATGATAGAGAAATAAGAAAAAATGTATCACCTTAAACTTGCTACTCTTCATCCTGGACATAGATAAAACCGACAATGGAACATGCAGTAAAAATAATTCAATGAAAGGAAACAATCTGCAGAGTACTCTGTCTGACCTGAAACTGTAATGTGCGACAATGTTTCCGTGATTCTAGTTTGTTCCCTAAGCAGCAAAATTTAGGGAATGACAAAGGCGCAAGACACTTATAGTAGCGTGTCTGTGAGTTGATTTGTAACAAGCACCATGCCAGGATGGTCCGATCCATGGAGAGACAGTGGTATCTGTATCTCTCGCATGGCTCTACCAATAATCTCCTTTCCCTGATTATCTCTGTTTCGCGCCATATTCTTTCAATGTACCTGCTCTGGTACCATGTAGAATTCGTGAATTTGCAGGATTTCCATAAACAAATATTTTGGTTCTCAGTAATTTTGGATCGCCATTAGAGAAAGAGCTTCAAGCTCACGAAAATTCTGTTACCACGACGACGACCCTCAGCTCACATTTACACTTAAAAGCACCAATGACCAATCATAAATTGACAAGTAGAAGACGTCTAACGAACAAAATAAAAGAAAGCGCAGGCACCCTACTATAAGTGTCTTGCGCCTTTACCACAACAACTTTAAAACATAAAAAAGGCAAGACAAAAAATAAAGACGGAAATAAGGAAACGCGTTTCTTCTCGAAGGAGGCTTGCATGTCCACATCCGCATCTCCGTGAATGCATGCAAGCACATCTCAACAAATATCTTAAAGCTCAAAAATTAAAAGAGAATACTGGTATACTATTGAATTGTAACAAAAGCACTCATGCTGCACAGGAAAAAGATAATAGTATAGAAAAAAAGGGTCCCCAGGCTTTGTGGTGGCTAGGAGAACCCCAGGCTTTACAATTACAAGGTTTAGCAGAAACTTACAAATAACATGAGTTCATTGACTTGTAATATACATCCCTGGGTTTTGAGCTTGAACCTTCACGGAGCAAAACGTGAATAGGACGAATTACAGTAAAGAGAGAAGTATCCAAAGACAATAATTCAGTAAGAAACAGATGAAAAATAAGCAGAACTACTTTAGCAATGATAAGACTGCCACTACAAAATTTTCCACAAAAATGATCATGTTACATCATATAAAAGTAGAACAGTACATTAACAAAAAACTAATAAAATGAAATGAAACAACCGCAAATTCATCTTGCATCCCAGTTGAGCCCGAGATTCCAAGTTCCCAACAAAGCTGAGTGGAGACAACTGAGACAAAGTAGTCCAACATTATTTCCTCGAACCAGACATGGATGCAATTTGACTAACTAAATTTATCTCGTTGGCCTCGAAAATCCATAATCACATCCAGATCGAAGTTGGTATGAGAGTTCTCCGTCTCCTAGTTCTCCAAATATATCCAGCCAATTCCTATTTCCTACTTTACTTCTCTCAACACCAGGGGATTTTAGAGGGTAATTGAAGATAAGGACTCCGGACCTTGATGGCGCCAGCACGCAACACACCTCTCTCCTTGAACCAGCCGAGCAGCCTTAGCTTCGGATTGCTAAGCTCCACCTGAGCTGGAGAGCCAGGAGCACGCCACGTCATTGGAGGGACCGGGAAGGTAACGACTGCTCTTCACTTGATATATTCGGCAGCGACCGGTCGGCCGGGTCGGAACGCATGGTGGGGAGTTCGAGGCGGCGGAATAGGGTTGTGACGGCGGAGGAATTTGTCATTTTGGGACGCGGATTTCCTGCGGGGTTGAGAGAGATGGAATGCATCTTTGGCTGTGGCGCCATTTGATGGCGGGCAATTTGGCCGGGTGCAGCAACCCGATCGGTTAGGTGATATTTAATTTATAAATACTAAATAGTTTTTTTTAATTTTATTTTTTTAGTTATAACTGATAACAAAATTAGTTTTTATTTATAAATTTAAATATAATTATTTTTATTTTATATATGCAATATAGATTTCAAATCAAATATAAAAGAGTTATTAATTTTGCTAGATGTATACAAAAAATTAATAACAAATAAAAAATTTATTAAACTTTTAAATATATTATAATTTAAATTAGTTTAATATTTTGTAATTATAAAAATCAAACATAGATAAAAGTCCAAACCTATATGGAAAATCACCCAACATTAACACATATATAAAGTGACACATATAATTATAAACAATTACAAACTATAAGAAACTTGACACCAAAACTTGAAATTATCACATCACATATGATATAAAATTATGAAGCATAAAAAATTGGATGCATAAATTATAAAAAACTTGACACCAAAATTTGAAATTACACATCACATATGATAAACAATTATGAAGCATACAAATTTGGATACATGAATTATACAAAACTTGACACCAAAATTTAAAATTATCACATCACATATGATATACAATTATGAAGAATAAAAAATTGGACACATGAGATTACATATCACGATTACAAAGTATTAAAAAAAATTACACATGAAATTACAAATCACTAAATGTTGAAATTCTCACATAGGATTATACAAACTAGTGCGCATCCCGTGTGATGCACGGACGAACTTGTTACTTAGAACCTTCTTTAAAATTTTATTTTAAACATAATTATTTATATTTAACATCTCATTATTGCAAAAAACGAAATAGGCAAATATGAAAAATTATAAATTATTAATTTAAATATAATGAGTGTCCCTAACAAAACCAGTAACATCTAACACACATAATACATAAAAATTAATTATATGAATCATTATGCTTTTTAAATATATATATATATATATATATATATATTTAATAAATATGAGATATGTAAGATTCGCAATAAAATTTGCAATTTGAATATGAGATGAAAATTGATATGTACAAAAAAAATATGTACCAAGAATCCACATAATATGAGATTCTTTGTAAACTTTAAAAGATTATATAGTTGGATAAATATGGACAAAAAAATCATCAATTAAGTTGAATAATCTAAAATTTGAAAATAATTTTTAAAATTAACATTCTTTATTAAATAAATACAAATTTTAGTTGTGACCATAAAATATGAAATTTGTAAATAGATAAATATGGATAAAAAATATTTAACAATTAAGTTGGCATGACTTTCTAAAAAGATTTAAAAAAATTTCATATGTTTTATTCGTTAAATGGTTGACAGGATTTTTGTAACCAAATTTACACGTTTCATCGAAAAAATTCAAGTAAATGATTGATACGATTTTTTGGGAGCGTGATTTTCAAAATTCTTTATCATTATTGACCAAATTTACCCGTAACATTTAGGAAAATCATTGCCCATATTTTTATGAATTAAGGTTTACATAATATCTTTCTCAAATAATATTTTTTTGTTTTAAATAATTGATTTGAATTTACACAATATTTAGGTTTGTAGGTGAGATATGAGATGAGATTTTGTATATGATTTATTTATGAAATATCAATAAATCTTAAAAGTTATAGCATATTCTAGTGTTAAACAAGTTAAATACATCGTAATTTTTGCGAAATTTTGTAATAAAAGTGTACTTTTAGCCGAATAAAAATGAATTAAAGACACTAATTATATTTTTCAAATATTTTATTACGCGATTAACACCTCCTTTCTATTACAACTAGTAATCAACCTGTGCATTCGCACAGAGACGAATACTTTCAAAAGATAAAAACATAAAAAAAAAAAAAAAAAACAAAAATAAATCATAATTTAATTCATGAAAAAACAATATGAATTAAGAAAATAATTCTCAAAATTGATTTTGATCAAGTAATTGTTATGGAAGAGCCGTTACAACTATTTTTTTATGCTAATACACCCGACCATTTTCATGAGTTGGTGTAACTTAAAATTTGAGTACAATTTTGTAACTCCCTTGATTGGTTTATGCTCATAATTTATGACATTCAAGCAAGTTATTTTGTAACTTAAAAAATGAAATTGAATGCTGAAAACTTTGGAGGGAGAATAAAATTTAATGCATGGTAATAAAATTAAATGCTTTGTTGTTTCTCTTTATATACTAGTACGTAACCCGTGCGATGCACGGGATGTAAAATTTGGAAGAATAATATAAGCTCACGTGCATTAGGATCAAAATTGAAATCATTAAAATACTTAGGAACATTGTTGAATCATAAAAAGTTCGGTAACAATCATATATTATTAAAAACCTCCTTGTACACAACATTATGGTTTGATTATTTGGTAACTCCTCATTATCACAAACTAATATTTTCAGAAGAGACAAATCCTAAAAATCAAACTAATATTTTTGGTGAACAAACTAATATTTTAGGATTGGTGAAAAAACTAATATTTTAGGATTTCTAGGATTTGTCTCTTTTTGGTGAACAAACTAATATTTTATGATTAGTTATATGAATAAGGCTACCTGTTTTTGGTGTTCTTTTTATTCATTTTCATTCAAACAATTCGATGACTTGTATAATGAAATCCGAATCTTAAGCCGAAATATTTAAAAAAAGAGTTTTTAAAAATTGAAAAGTCAAGGCAATCAGTTCAGATTAGTTAATGGTCAAAGAATATTCACTCCTTGAAATAAAGACGTGTGCTATCATTAACCAAATATCCGGTTATTGATATAGAGTGGTTACCATAAAATAGAATGCGATAAGGACGCTTCATGGAAATATCAATGGGATAAGGTCATAACAGATCGCTATGCATAAAAGCTCAGATGGAATGATTTATGATAATTATGTCGTAATTAATGAATTAATTAGATGTGTGAAAAGGACATAATTAATGACAAGTGTGAAAAGGACATAATTAATGAGAAGTGTGAAAAAGACATAATTAATGAGAAGTGTGAAAAGAACAAAAACTTACCGATTTTAGAAAATATTTAATGCAAATCCGACATTGACCATAATTTGACCTACTATTTTGGATAAATGTTAATTCTTATTATATAAGTATAGATATAGATTACATGCATTTTTAAAGTCATTTTTAGATACAATCAGTTTTTAATAAATGTGACGGTTCTTCATCTATCTCTTCCTTCTCTCTCCTTTCTCTTTCCACCGATTTTCCTTTTTTTTTTTCCTCTTATAATTTTTCTTCTTCTTATCATTTTTCTTCTTCTTCTTCCTTTCTCTCATATATCCGAAACCAATCCTCACTCTCTGCCATTTATTTTTCTCTAAGCTCTCATCTCTCCTTTCCTTGAGATTCCACGGCCTCCCGTCCCCATTCTCCATCTTCTCTCCCGTTAGAACCTCCCTGCAAACTCTTACCCCAAAGCTTTTCATAGTCAGAACTCAGAAGCGGTTGAAGATGGCGGCGACACGGTTCGGCGACCTCATAAGCTGCGAGCCTCTCCCGCAAGGTTCCAGAAATTGTACGATTGAATTTTAATATTTATTATTATGATGAAATTTTTTTTTTTCTTTTAAGATTAGTTAACAAAATTCCTAGTACAATGAACTTAACTAGGACATTAAATAATATTGTTTCTGTTGCAGTTTAGATTTATGCTTGCCAAATAAAATTCTAAATTTCTAATCGGCCATTCAAATAGGAAAAGGTGTATTCTCATTCACAAATTCATCTTTGTTTATGCTACTTACTCTCCCATCAACATCCAGAAAAGCCGTAGCCAATTTACATAATATTGTCAGCATCATTATGTTTTCAATTTACTTTATGCTTGTCAAATAAACTTCTAAATTTTCAATCCGCTATGTACTGATGTGATCCATAAACAATCACTATTGTTGGCATACTTTTTTTTTTACTTATGTGTGAAGTAATGGAATCTGAATTTCTGCATTTTGATTGTTGTAATTGTGATTATTTTGTTGTGAAATTTACAAGCCCATATATTTATTATAAAATTTAAGTTGTAAATATTTTATTGTTAATACAAGATTGTTTTCATGTTGCTTGACATATGTTTTAATGTTGTTTTATTGTATCTTATTTGTTGTTTTCTATAAAATATATTATTAATTTTTTAAATTGCAATAATAAATATTTTGTGTTGCTTTCTAAATAATTTAATTGTCATGCATGTATATAACATATTGATCAATCTTTTTGTTATTTTTTTTGTTTCTAGTGTGTTTTTCTTATTCATCCAAATTTGAAGAAGAAGAAGAAGAAAAAGAAGAAGAAGAAGAAGGTGGGAAAAGAATGAAAGAGAGAAAAGAGAGAAGAAAAAAAAAATGGAAGAAAGAGAAAGAAGAAGAGAGAGAGAGGAGAATTTTTACAGTTTATTTGTTTAGACTGTTTTCTTAAATTGAAAGAATTGAAGTGTTTTTGGAATCCCATGTCTTCTACCTCTTTTATGGAATATTAATTTTTATGGGGTTTAGTTATGTACTTTCGCCCATATGTAAGCGATTAGCAAACCACTCCAGTTAAATTTGAGGTCGGGTAAAAGAATTATGGCTACGCTCTTGTTAACAAAGGGGCCTTTAGACCAATACCAAAAATATCTCTATCGAACTCCCAATATTCAACTCCATAAACCTCAACTCTATATTTTCTGTTATAGTTTTACTCCCGCAAACTCTCTTTATTTGACTCTCTACATTTTAAATTTCTTAAAATCTCCAACTTTAAGGATTTATATTAACTTATATCTTTTGTATTTCACTATATAAAAATCTAATAATTTTTAAAACTTATACCAAAACCTAAAACATGAAATAATAAAATGCTGCCATTTTATTATACATATTTAGATTAAAGTTCTACTTTTTAAATATTGTTTTTAATCAAATATTGTAGAGAGTCAGAGCTCATTATTAGGGAGGGGGAAAAGGGAGGATGGTGGAGCAAATTTTGAGTGTTGGGCTAAGAGAGTATGGTAAGAAATGCACGGAAACGCACTATAAGCCGAAAAAGCCTAGATCAAGTTCGAGTGTGTTTCATCCTAAAATCAATTGGTGGTAGGAGGAGTAGCCCATTAAATTTATAAGTTACGCCTTTTTTTCTTATATAAACGATGTGAGACATAAGTTAGACATATTTTTTTATATAAACGATATGAGACAACTCACAAATGATATTCTAACAAGTATAGATATTTGTCAGAACTTAAAAGTAATAAGTGGCAAGTAAACATTTAATTCTCAATCGATAAAATATTAGTTAGATAAAATTTTGGTAAATATGTGGGATATCATATTTTCGTCTTACACTCCACATGAAAACGACTGATCATCATCATATATATATATATATATAATTAATAAGTAAACAGGATAATAGTGGAAATATAATAAATAAAAGCAAAGCTTTACAAAAGAGAGGTAGCGAGCATCAAAACTTGCTATTTACACAACAAACGGCGTTGAATTGAAGCGAGAATTAAGGTGATTCAGGTATGCTACCCAGCGCCGGCGTCCACGTCCGGCTATCCGCCTCCGGCCAATCCCCTCCAATTTGAATCAATCGAGCCATAATATCCTCCTCCGAATCCCCTTTTCCTAAAAGGAGTTTCAACTGCTTCTTGGAGATCCTGATCTTCACCTCCGTTCTCGCCGGCGAAGACCCAATTATAGTACTCGAGGTCTCGCCGGAGCCGAAGGATCCCCAGTCATCGCCTCCCCAGTGCACGGACGACTCTTTCCGTATGCAATTTCCCATTCTATTAAATGTATTATATAAATAAAAGAATCGCGATTGGTGCTTATGAGAGGGTATTGTTTTGTTTTGTTTTTATTCACAAATGAAAGGGAGATGCGGTTTTTATTATAGGCTGGTGATGGAGCTTTGGTTTGGTAGTGTGGGTCCCGCGGTCTTTACCTTTTCCTCTCCTGATGAGTTGGCTCGTGCTTTGGGGGGGCCACCGCCCCACTTTTATAGTATGTGCTTTTCTTTTTGGGTGTCGGAAAGGAAGCTCGGCTCGGCTTTCCCGCTGGCTTCTCGGCTAATGACTGCTTACGTGTCTTGACCTAGCTTGTTCGAGGCGCGTATGACTACTGTTGGCAGCCTGAAAGTTGTCAGATGCATAAATAATAATAATATTAAAATAGTGAAATAATGACTAATTACCATAGTTTTTGACTCAGACTGACTCGGTGGGTTGACCCAAGGCATTGATCCGGTCCATATATATATTTTTTTTAAAATAAAACTATGTATATATGTTTATATGGTAAATATTTATAGAAATTCTATGGTGTCCATTAAGGTACCATAAGCCATGTCACAATATAATGTGTCATATGAAGTGCCTTTATTAATTATCTTTCAATTTTAACATGGCATAAATTAAATTGTTAAAGAAATAAATAAAAAATCTTGAACAAAAATAAATAAATTAATTAAATGACCGTAGGGGTTTGAAGACCAAAGTCGTAATGTTGTAGTGGAATTAAAATTGAATCCTAATCTCACTTTGGTCTTATCCGACACATCAAAATCCTCACCAAGTCACAACAATATCTTCCCCACTCAAGCCGACTTAAATCGGCTGCGAGCTGCCCAAAATCATTGTCGTGTGAAAGGAATTTGGCTCACGTTCAGTGGGCTGTGTAGCCGAGTGTGAACGGCTGAGGTAAAGGAATATCTCTATCATTTTCATAATAATTGTCCTCATAATTAGGAACCTTTATTCATTAACCTTTCTCTTCATACTCCATTCGGTAGTAACCTAAAAGGAACGTACCTGTTTACAAATATATATCAAATTGGGTATCTATGTTTAATTGGTCTAGGGTAGCAAATTTTTAATATCGTATTATTAAATATTAATTATTACCTTTTCACCCATGAGCATGTAATTGTTTTGATTAAAAAAATAGTATAAATTAATAATAATATGAATTAAAAGAATACATATGAAACAGTGCAAATTGTGAAAAAGAATAATTTGTAAGCAATAATACTTGTATGCTTGTTAAAAAAAATTCCTAATAGCTAGGTATGAATGGAATTCAAATATGCATGGGCTACTCCAAAGTATCAAAAAATGACAACTAGAATTATGAAGCACCAAAATTCGACTCATAAGACCACGAAGTACCAGAAGCCGATACGTAGAAATTTTGCATTAGTATATAGTGGGGAAACTCTTAAGAAAATTTAATCTAAGAGAGATGTTTCTTTTATTTAAATTTCAAATACATTTTGAAAATTGTATTATTATTTATATATAAAATGTAACTTTTCACCTATACGGTTTGATAGTCTTATATTATCATGAGTTTTTATTATTTCATATGTAATGACTTTATATATAACTTATTAATTGGTATATAATTTTATATTTTTTAATTAGTATTAATAGATTGCTTAATTTTATATTAAAAGATTAATTAGTTATTTATTTATTTTATATATGCAATCTGAATATTAAATCGCAGTTTGTGAAATGATGAATAATTTGATAAACTATATATGAAAAATTGATAATAAATACAAAAAATACTAACTTTTAAATATATTCATAATTTAAGTCACTCAAGTATTTTGTAATTTTAAAAGACCTAAAATTATGGATGGAATTCAAATCTAGGACTACTCATAACAGAGACAAATAAGATAAGATTATAATGCACAAGATATTGACACGTAGGATGGACAGTAATCAATTTTATCCTTTGGTTACGTAGTAAAACCGTAACTTGCTCTTCAGTTTTAATTGTTCTTTAGAATTTTGTGTTTGATGTTTGAAATAACTTTTTTTTTTTACTTTTCTTATTTTTACTTGGTCTTTATTTTTATTTGTTAATGAAGAAAACTATATTATGAAAATAATATTGACTTTTAACTTTACGCTTAGATTTCTTTAATCCTTACTGTTTAATCAAAATGCTCGTTGAGTGTATGCATTTGAAGCAAACAACAAAATCTTATTATCAAAATGCGAAAATTTTCCATCTAACTAATGATAATTTATAATATAAAATAATTTAAAAAACTATTCATATAAACATACAGCATAAATATACATTTGACATTGGAATATATAAATGCTAAATAGTCGGCTATTAAAATATCATTAATTTGATATCATTTGCAAAAAAATTAATCACAAAAGGACTAGCAAATTATTTCAGTTTTATGAACTTCGTTCTCATAAACCATGCACTATTAATACTCTCATTAATTAATAATATATTAATGGAAAATCGTGGCTCTGGAAAAGTATAAACAAAAAAATTGACAAGTAGTGTGTAATAGTCGAGTGTTATTTTAAAATTAAATTTATTTATTTTAATATACCTTACATGAGTGTTGTAAGGGTATAGAAGTGATATGAGACATGTTTGATTGGACCTTTCAACAAATATGCTAAAAATAATAAGATCTACTGTTTCAAAATAAAAAAAAAATAATAATAATATAAAATTTTACAATAAAAATATGTTTTTATTTAAAAATTATGGCCATCGATCCACTAACTACTACTCCCATATTAGTAAAATCGTATCTGAAAATTTATGTGTAATGTTTCCACCTTCATAAGATGGGGCAGTTTTCATTTCTT